AGTTGTTTGTGGTAGGTTTGTGTTTCCGTTCCCACACTAGTTTGGGATCTACTGGAGAACTATTTGATTGTTTTCTGAGAGTCTGTTTAGCTGGCTGGTCAGTTCTTTCTCCTGACTTCAGCTGCTGCGTTTTTTCCTTCTGCTTCCTTCAATGATCCATCGATGTATACGTGTGTCCATTCGGGTTTTGGATACGAGTTGCAGATATGTTCAAGGGTCTTTGCATGCAGTACTAGGTCACATCCTTCAGCCTTTCTGTCTATACCGTGGATTGTTGTTGTGACTGTATAGTTAGACTGTAGGTCTATGCTGTATGCTTGGATCATTTCCCTCGTTCAAGGATCTTTAGAAAGGATTTCAGTTTTTTGCGTAGTACAATTTTGATAGATTGTGAAAGCTTTGTCTTTTTAATCGGGTTTAGTTGTTGTTTGCTATTCTGTGCATGGAGTTGTTCGTGCGACTAAAGTTTTCTGTTAGCGTAAGCACATTTTCTTATCTTCGAAGGTTTAAGTGGAGGCCTTTAGCTAATTGATTGGTGGCTTATCATACCTCCAATGATGATTCTGAGACCATGTTCTGTATTTTGTCCAGTTTGTGCAGTTTTGGTCGTACGTGTCTTGTGTATACTTGTCGCCCAGTGTTGGCATCTGCACCCCAGCTTGTTCCAATACGTTTCTTCATAAGTCTGAGCCGCAGGGTAGTTTTCCTTTGGGTGCCTTCAAATTGGAGCCCGAGGTTAGCCTTTTGTCAAATTTTACTCCCAAATATGTGGGGGTTTCTTCTTTTGGAAGGATGTTGCCTTCTAGGTACACATCATGTTGTTCTAGCTTTGGAGTAAGAGAGAGGAAAGTCGATACGGTTTTGGTCTGGTTTATTGTGACTCCCCAAGAGACTGTCCATTTATTAACAGTATTTATAGCTTCCTGCATTCTTGTTTTAGTTGTTCCTATATGTTCAGCTTAGGTCCTTATTGCTAGGTCATCTATGAATGTGTTTTAGGAGATCATTGATGAAAAGAATAAACTGGGTAGGAGATATAACCCCTCCCTGGGGGACACCTTCTTGTAAGCTGACCAGGTTGCTCTTGTATTCTTCCATCCTGACTCTCGTGCAGCGTCTGTAAAGAAAGTCTCTAATCCAGGCAGACATATGCACTTTATCCCACTGTGTGCAAGTTTTAGCAAGAGTCCTTTCTTCCATACCTTTTCAAAGGCTTTCGTCAGGTCGATGAAAGTTGCTAGCAGTTTTTTACATATTCAATTTCTAACGTATTCCATAAATTTTACGTTGAGTCTGTTTTTGTTGCTGTTATTCCACCCATTGTTTCCTCGCTCTGTTCATTATATTTGATGAGCGAGGTTGTTCAGTCTTATTGTTTGATGTGCATATTTAAATTATGTACATGGTGTCGAGCCAGACTGGAACGATGATAATTGGAAACGTATGTTAGACCCAGTATATTTTTTAATATTCTTGGTCTGTTGGGCTGAAGCGTAACTGTTGTAGCAACCTTCTCGAACAGTGACAGCCGCCGCTCGTGTCTTTTTCTGGTCGGAGAGTCTTACGTTCGGATCTACATCAATACCGGTAGGTTACGGGGCCCTATTTGACGGGAAGAGAATAGACCCACTGCCCCCTAACAAGCAAGTCGTAAAGATTAGGTGTGTTTTCTTTATAGTCGAAGGGCAGCTGTTCACGGTCGTCTGTAACTTAAACAGGCCTCCCGGTTCGATGGAGATTTCCGTTTTTGTGAAGTCCCGGAGGAAAGTCTGATCACTACAGAAGGCGGTAATCTGCCTTAGAGGCCAGGAAGCTACACTCTGTGTTCAAGAAAAAGGTCTGTTAAACGAATGCGCACGCAAATCTCAAGTTCTGGAATAAGACCAAAGTCCAGAAATAAAACAGCCAGACATTTTCGCCAGAGTTTATAACCAATAAGCGCGAAGAAAAAGAGGAAGAGGATAAGGAGGAAGCAAAAGAAAAAGAAGGAGCAAAACAAGGAATAGGAGGGTTAAAAAGGGGGGATGGACCAGAATGAGAACATGGAGAAGAAGAAGAAGAAGAAGAAGAAGAAAAGGAAGAAGAATTCTCACCGATACGGCTTTTTTTTATAATTGACATTGGGTCCTCAGGTTGATCCACCCAAAATGGTACTTGGCAATGTCCTAAAAAGTAAAGGCGGCCGCTATGATTACTTGTCCTATTTGTTGTATGCTCGATGCGCTGCTGATGCGAAATAAGTTCTGTAAATAAAGGCCTTCAGACATACTGGGCACATAAGACTAGGTCTTTTTATTTTATTAGATCAATCGGCGCATGGCGGATGATGTAATCAACATTAACATGGAGAAAACATATCAACAAGGCAGCAACCAAAGCCAGAAGGAGGGTAGCCATTCTGAGAAACTAAGTGGAACCACATGGGGTGCTAGCGGGAAAATACTTAGAAAAGTTTACCAACAAAGTGTTCGACCACATCTTGAATACGGATCAACAGCAT